CTGTTGAGTTTTTCTATTTTGTTTGGGACCAGTACTGTAAATGCTACTTTTTAAAAATTTCAGTTGCCAACTATTTAGTTTTACCACCATTATTGGCTTATGAGCCTTTTATTGACTATACAGAATTTTCTGGCTCTTTTCTGACATGCTATCAATTTGAACCCTTCCAAATCTGTGTCTAAGCTCTGCCACGACAGGCACAGAGTAGCCTTCTCTCCAGGACAGTGGACTTCCTCTACTAAGGCACAAAGACTCCATGCTGACTCTAGTTAATGTCCTTGGTGATCTTCAAACTCTTCACGCTGGTTGGTTCAAGCCTAAACACCTGTCTCTTCAGTCTGTGTGAACTCTACGAGTAGTTCACCTTACAACGCTCCAGTCTTTTTACCTGAATTTGTGGAATTTTTCCCACAGTGGAATGGCCTAATGTTCAAAAAACATTCAAGGGAACCTCATACAGACTACTGAAGCTCTGTTTCTAAGCAGTTCCATCTCCTCTGGTACACTATTCCACAATTTCTAGCTGCCTTACTCTCTCCCAAGCCCAATCCCCATCTCCCTCGCTCAGCAAGTCCACTGTGGTATGTCTGGTTTCCCTGTCAAGGGCTTATACCTGCCTTCAGGCAGAACGTAAGGCGGGCACAGGGATCACCTCATTTGTGTCCCAACCCTCTGTGCTGACTATTACCCAATGTTTGAAAACAGTTGTTTCATATCTTTTGTCAAGTTTTCCAGTTGTGTGGGGCTGTCCAGGTCAAGTTCTTGACACTGTCTCCTCACTGCAAGTTGAAGTCCACATCTAATTTTTAATGAATTTTTTTTTTTTAATCCATCATTGGATTTCAGGTTCACAAGAACCCCATAAAGCAAAAATACAACCAGTGAGAAAATACAGCACCAATAAAGGATACCGAATAATTGAGAATATTATAATAATAGTATCAATAATAGCTAGTATTTATTGAGTACTTACTATGTGGCAGGCACCACATTAAGTATTTTACACAGGTAAGTTCATTTCATCAGCGCAAGAGCATTATGAGGCAGGTATTTTTTGCAGAAGAGGAAACCTAAACACAGACAGGCTCAGGAACTTGCCTAAAATGGCAATGCTGGTAAATGGCCGCACTGAGATAAGGAATAAGCCACCTGGCTCTAAGGCCAAGCCCTTAGGCCGCTACACTAAAACCTGCTGTTATTTTCTATTGTATGAATACAAGCCTCCTGCACAGAAAACAACTTGGAGGATAAGGGGCGGGAGTATGGGTTACAGTGATAGGAATGAGACCTACAAAAGAGCGATGATCCTCAAGTGCCATATTCTCATGCTGGAGGAACATGGGACAGTGCTGTTCTCAGAGGCCCTTTCTGGCTGGGATATAAAATAAAATATGTTCTCAGAATACTCCCAGAGATACAATGCAATAAATGACAGTTCATCCACAAACACCTATTTAACCATAATATAGCTAAAAATAGCAGCTTCATAAACAGTCAATAAATATGTACTGAGAGCCTCGTAGAGGCCACGAACTGTTCTGAGAGCTGAGGACACAGTTCAAAAGTCAGACCAAATCCCTACCCTCCTGAAGGCTGTATTTCTACAGAAGACACACAATAACACAAATAAAAAATTAAAAAGCGAGTAAGGTAACTTCAAAAAGGAAGAGATGCTAAAAGGAAATTTTAGAGGCTGCTGTAATGGAGGAGGAAGGGGTGTGAGGTGCTACTTTATACTGCGTGGTCAGAGAAGGGCTCGCTGAGAATATGATACGTGAGAGGAGACCTGGAGAACAAGATGACGGACGTGGAAAATAGGAGCTGAAAGCTTTCCATACAGGAATTATAAAATCAAGTTGCAAGAGAACTGCATTCAAAAATGCTGGGAAGGCCAGAGTGGCTAAAATGTGGTGAAAATGAGGGTGGTTTAAGATAAAGCTGATTTGAAAGGCAGGGACTGAGTTTTCCTTTCTTTTTTTTTTTTTTTTTAATTTAACTTCACTATTTATGCTTCTATTATTTTCTACTTATATTCTTTTCAGCCAAGCTTAATACGCTCTTAAATATTTTAAACTATTACTTCTATTTATTTTTGGCATGGAGTCACCAAACTACTCAATTCCTCTAGATTCCTTTAATTCTGTTTAGTTATTCTGCAAAGCTGTGTATACACTACTCTAAAACCAATGCTAATGAGCAAAAAAGCCTTAATGATCTCACAGTGTTCTTCATTCAAAATAAAGCATCTAATCCAGCTGATTTTAATGAAATGACTCAATGTTTTGACATGCAAGCAAAAAAATAAGAGTTATTTTGTTTATCTGCAAAGCTGCTATCTGTCCTCAACCACAGGAAACTCAGAGGGGATCCTGTGGCAGCAACTGAATCGCTTTTCCCTTTCACACACTAGTGTGGTCTAGAGAAAAAGGCAAAAACAACAAAGTTAATGAACTTTTAAGAGGCATTTACAGGAATTTCTAAAAATGTTTTATGGCTGCTCTGAAAATTATTTCATAAATGTGGAAAATTTACAGTTGGTTTTCTTCTGACTAAGAATGGTCCATCCCATGGTGTACTACGAGACAAAAAATCTTTGTGCCTAAAATACCTGCTAGTTTTCCTTGATATTTATTTTCTATCCTTCTTTTCCAATTTGATGTGCTGGTATATTATAGCTTCAGTATGATTTTATGTTTTATATTAAAATATGTTAATAAAAAATTACACCAGAATAAAAAAAAAAAACCTAGAAACTTAAATGTTGGTTCTTCAACTTTGACTCATTTATGACAAAAACAGTTAACTAATCTTCTAACTGGCCCTACCAATTAGAAAAAAAACAAAGAACAAAATAAAAAGAGAAGACATAGTACTTGTTCAGCACTGCTGCTTTTACTTGCCCAAGCTCTTCAATATCACCTGGGAGATACCAGTCCAAGCCCACAGGCCTTGTTCCGACCCCTGGGGAGCTGAGGCGTGTCCCGCCCTCCCAGTCACCTATCCAGATGCTTCCCCTGCTGATCATACACAGGCCTTCTAAAAATCCTCTTTAGGACAAAGAAACCAGCAGTTCTCATGTTGTCAAGGGTAATTTTCCTAGTGTAAAATGTTTCCTTCACCAAAGATAAATATTTCAAGACTTTTATAAAAACATGGTTTTCAGCAAATATTACACAGCCAGCAGGCTGACCTAAGCACAATGTCTTTCAAACGGATGCACTAATAACAACCTAACGTCATTTACCTCCCAGTCCAATGCAGTGTAAAGCATAAACACTACAGGAAGCAGTCTTACCCAAAATGTTTAAGTAGAATATAAATCAAAGTTCAACACTTAACTTTCTGTCTACAAGAGACACATGAAGTAGAGACACAGTTAAAGAAACAATCAGATAGAAAACTGGTCTGGACTCTTCAAAATGTAATGTCATGGGGGATAAAAACAGGGGACTCTAGTAGACCCTAAAGAGATATAATCACCAAATGCAAGGTGTGAACTTTGGATTCTGGGTTTTAAAAATCACTATTTAAAGACATTTAGGTGAAAACTGGAAAAATCTAAGGGTGAACTGGATATCAGATTACAGAATTGTTACTTTTCATAAATTGGACAGCTATTGTGTTTGGTAAGAGAACATCCTTATTGTTAGGAGATGTATGCTGACTTAGGGACCAGATGTCATGTCTGCAACTTACTTTCAAATAAATCATTGAAAAATTAAAAGTATACAATTGTGTGTGTGTGTGTGTGGTGTGTAGGAAGAGATAAATAAAGCAATTATTAAGAACTTTTTAATCTAGCGCCAGCTGGTGAGGCTCAGTGGATTGAGTGCCGGCCTGCACACTAAAAGAAAGCTGGTTCAATTCCTAGTCAGGGCACACGCCTGGGCTGCAGGCCAGGTCCCCAGCAGGGGGCGCTCAAGAGGCAACCACACGTTAATGTTTCCCTCTCTCCCTCCCTTCCCCTCTCTCTAAAAATAAATAAAATCTTTTAAAAAAAGAAGTTTTGAACCTAATATAAAGTATAGCATAAGGAATATAGTCAGTAATATTGTAATAACTATGTATGGTGTCAAGTGGGTACTGGAAATATCAGAGAGAACATTTTGTAAAGTATATGATTGTCTAACCACTATGCTGTACACCTGAAACTAATACAAAATAATACTGAATGTAAACCATAATTGAAAAATAAAATTTTTTTAAATATTGGGGTCCAGACAGAGGGTATAGGGGTATCCAACTATACCTCTATTCAACCTTTCACATTGAGATTTTTAATTCCTCTAGAGTTCATTCTTTATGTGGCATGAAATACAAATGTTTATTTTCCTCTACGCAAAGCTTTCTCTACACAACCTACTAAACAATTTGTCCTTTCCCCAGTGATTTGTGGATGAGTAATTTTTGATTCCGCTCAAAGAGCTAAGCCGAGGAAAGGGAAAAGGAATAAGAAAAGTAGGAAAAACAGCAGGGAAAAAGATAAAAAGGGTGCATCTAAAGAAAGCATTAGAACTTAGCTGAGGAAAGGCTGAGAATAAATGAAGCTACTATCAAATTCCATACTTACTAAAGTACATAAGTCAATAAAAAAATAAGTGAAAACCTCTTTTAAAAAATATATACACACTCAAAGGTTTTCAGGGAACATCTAACTTATGTGGTACACATTGATACTATCACAAAGAGAAAGTTTCCAGAAATTACATCATCTCCTACCAACCAGTAAATTGGGTTGCTTTATGCTGAGCATTTACTCCACTTCAGACAAAACAAAAAGGATGGCAAAGCAGAGACACTATAAGCATCTCGAAGACTTTTTCTAAACTTTGAGATTCTATGGGAACATTTAAAGGTGACTTTAAAACCTATTCTTAAATTCGGCACCTAGATCAGATTTTAAAAACATGAACTTACAGAATTCGTAACTCTTCATTCCATTGCTGACAGCAGGTCAGAAAATGTAGATATTCTCTGTAAGAAAAGTCTAGGGAGCATACCTTTTGTTTTCCGCCAGGTTTGCTCCTTCATCCTTCAGCTGTTTGCTTTTCTCAGCAGAGCCTTCAAGCAGCACTTCTTTCCTGCGTTTTACGGCATGAAGCCAGTTCCCTTCATCACTCTCAGCAGCATCCTTTTCATCAGCAGCCTCTGCTTCAAACTGCTGGGAAGTGACCTTTGAGACTTTCTCACCAATTTTCCTCTTCCATCCAAAGGAAGCCATTCTGGAAAACGATGAAGAAACAGCTTTAAATTTCAAACTTGGCCCTTTCCAGAAGGATGCCCACTAGGTGAAGAAGGAATAAGGGTCAGACTATCACCGTTTTTTAACTCCTAATTAGCCAGTGGTCCTAGGAAATAATCATCAAAGGCCACTAACTAAACATTAAGACAAGTGGACGTTATACATCTCCTGATGGAAGTGACAGCCCCCCCATGACGGACTCTGTCCAAAAATTAATTCTGAATCAGATCTAGCCTCTGGTTTATAAAAAAAAATATGAGATCCAGATAAGCATGCAAAATAAAATGAGAGAGATGCAGACAGAAAGCTAAATAAATAAATAAATAAATAAAGCAAGCCGGTTTCTTCAAGAAATAAACTGCCAGTGAAAAAAAGAGAGGAGAGATGGAAGGGAGGTAACTCCTAGATTAAGAAAGACTAAGAGACACAGTAACTAAATAGAATAAGAGGGTCTTAAGCCAATGATGGGGAAACTAAGGTAATGAGAACACTGATTTGATATTTGATGATATTAAAGAATAGCCGGTATTTCCTAGACGTGGTAAATAATATTATGATTGTTTATTTAAAACCTTATCTTTTATGAATATATACTAAAATATTTCACATGAAACTATATGATATTTAGGAATTATTTTAATGTAACCAGTGAGGGTAGGGGTGCAGCAGAGAAGCACAGATGAAAAGATTGTTGTGAGTGGATCGCTGATGAAGTTATGCAATCGGTACATAAGATTCCTTATGCTCTTCTCTCTTTTCATGTATGTTTGACATTTTCCATTAGTTTTTAGAATCACACTCTGCAAATTCACAGTGTTGGGTGAATCAAAAAAGATAACGAATGTTAAATTGTTTTGTGAATCTGTAATGATTCTGTAATAAAGAAATTTTATTTCTTACAAATGTAAGAAATAAAAAAGAATGAAAGAGTAACTGATGGAACAAAGTTAAAGGAAACCCAGGAAGAATTCAACAAATATTTACTTAGATTTCCTGAGGGATCTAAGAATTCTTGCTAATTACATGGGTGGGCTTAAAAATACTGAGAAATCCCTGGAATTTTTGTATAAATTTTTATACATCTATGTGCATTCTTAAAGACGTCTAGGACCCAAGGAGCTTATAATCAACCGAGTGATCAACCTGAAGGATAAGAAAAGCAATAAACCAGAGGTCTTCATAAAATTATCAAAGAATGGGCACTGTGGGAACAAGGTAGAGAGAAAAATGAAATAGGGAGTAAGTTCTAGCAGATATCAAGGTCTTCTCCATTGATTCCCATCTGAAGTAAAGTGTAAGTGATCACTAGGAGGAGGGTGCAGAACAAGTGAGGTGAGCTGTGAGGCCGTTCACATGGAAAGGCCTGAGATAGTGGCAGAACTTAAGAGTAAAAAAATTGCAGGTTATATGCCTAAATTCTTAACGAACATGAGTGAGTGCCAATAACTTACAGCAATCAAGAAACATATAGGCTGATGACGGTGAACCAGATCTTTTACAAAGGAGCAGGGATTTTTAGAAAAACCCAGAAAAGTAATGGGTTATAAACTGTACTACAGAATTAGGACAATGCCAAACTCTCTCCCCAGACCCATTATAATACGAGAATGAGATTCCTATGTTTGAAGATGACTACAAATAATGTAGGGGAAGACCCAAGAAAGGGCTGAAAATGGAAGTGCGGTTACTTTGGAACCCAAGTCCAGAGGTGCAGAGTGAGGACAACGTGCCAGAATGAATTGCTAGGAAAGTCTCACAAGGTATCAGGATAATTCAAGACCAGAAATAAGTGTTGTGTTTACGACTGTCCTTAAAAGTGACACGAATGAAAATGATTTAGTTTTCTGGTTTCAAGTTTCCTAGTGGAACTTTGTGTGGCACCCTATCAATGGGTGGGAACCCTATCCTTGCAGATGGACGTCTGGTGTGCTTACTGAAGGCAAATGACATCGTGACTCATAGGTCAGGTCTGCCGATTAATGGGAGCAGGGGTTAGGGTAGCAGGAAAAGGAAAAAAGGACAGACAGACCCACATGTATTTTTAAAAATTAATAGTTCATTCAGAAATCCTAGAGATCAGAGGCTGTGGAGGTTAGGACACAGTGAGGTTTTAGGAGTATAAAAGGCCTGATGTCCCCTATCAGTTGATAAGTTTAGCCTTGACGAGAGGGACAAGAATACATTCCTCTTGGACAAGAGCTAATATTGAATGAAAACTATAGGCAAGTTCAGAGGTAGAGGAAAAAGAAAATGACAAATTTCATACCCCTCAAGCTTCACATTTTTCAGAGAAATAGAGGACTAGTCATCCGTGTCAAATAAAGGGAAAAGAATTGATCTGAGACATGACAATAGAAAAGATCTGAAATAGTCACAGTGAAGAACACGAAAAGCAATAGTAAGGGATGAGTAAAGATGCCAAACAGTACCAAGGGTACACTGATGTTAAAAAGCACAAACCTCTTACCAAAACCAGTAGTATAGTTTTATACTTTCTTCAGAATTGTCTGGAGACCACTATTACTGTTTGCAATACAAAATAAGTGCTGTAACAGAATAAACAAAGGATGCTGGGATGTCAAAGAAACACTTCAGGGTCGATGGATTTTGAAGAATAAAAATGTGCCAGGCTTTTTTTAAAAGAAGGGTGAGTTCTATAACACAAACAACACATAATTTCCACCTTGGAAAATTCAACACTATGAACTGGTTAGTGCACGTTTATTGTTCTAAGGCTATATATTTGGATATAAAATTAAAATTTCTTATAAAGAAGGGTTTCCTGAATCTGTATTTAGATGTACAAGGCACCAACACCCTAATCTTTACATTTTCCACCAGGATAGAATAACCATATAGGTAAATCACAATCAAATGGGTTTTATGCTAAACTCATAAAACAACACAACATCAATTTTACGCAGAACTGTATTTAATTAATGCCATGAAAATTCTAAACAACAATGTTGCAATCTAAATTTTCTTGGGGGCACAATGAACCCTACAGCAGGCACTCGATTACTGCAGCCGGCGTGACAGTTCGCCCAGTCCCCAGCCTGAAGCTCGTCTTCGCAGGGTGGGAGGATGCAGCTCCCGAGGCGAGAAACCGCTGGGTGAACAAGGTCAGGAAATCAAAACAGAACCCTTCCGGGTACAGGATGTATTCGGAGGTGCGAAAGGCAAGAAACGATTTACCCGAAAATGTCGCCGCAAGACTGAAGCAGTATTAGCGACTTCCCTTCATTTTTCACAACAATAAAAATATGCCAAGTTCATCAAAGCTGCCCGGAAGGTCCCCGCGAGTTCCCTAGCCCCGCCCTCAACCGCAGACACAGTGCACTCGGTTCCGCTCCTCCCACTGCTAAACCGCACCGACAGCCCAGAAGCCCGGAGCCGTCCCGGACGCCGCTACCTAGGAGGGCCGACCCCCAGACCTGCTCGTCCCTAGACACCAACCTTAGTGTCCCGGCTATGCCACAGCCCCGCTGAATCTCAACTGCAACTTCTGAAGCAAGTTTTCCCTTAACCACAAGCCCCACTCGCCCCCTCTTCCAGCTCTTCCCAGCCCCAACCGGGTAGCCCCACTTACCTGATGACCACTCCGGTCCCGTGTTTACATTCCTCTTGCCCTTTGCCCACCGGAAGCGGAAATCATCATGGCCGACCGCCGACCTGCGTACTCTAATGCATGGGCTTTCAAGGGGGTTGGCCGAGCCCAGCCGTCGGAACGGTCCAGAGAAACCCACGGGGGGAGAGGTGCTTCTCAAAGCGTTTTTCATCCGCCAATCTCTCCCTCGGGACCACAAATCCCAGAAGTCGCTGCGGCCAACCCCACCCCCATTACCCTCTGGGATTTGTAGTCCGGGCCTCTCGGGTTGGGCGCGCTCTCTAGTGGCAGGCGGGAGTGTGGAGTGCGCAGGCGGCCGCGGTGAGGGAGCGCGGGAATCTGGCTACGCCGGCTGAAGTGCGCTCCGAGCGAAGCCCGCCAAGCTAGATTGTGCACCCAGCCAGTTGGCAGACAGAGCGGGCGAGACATGGGGAAAACGATTTGGGGGACTTCACTGCATAAAGATATAACCCTTCTTCAAAAGAGTTCACACCCTAGCTAATGAGGTCGACGACACGCAGAAGCCAGAGGTAAACTCTCTGAAAAGGGGCTCAACGGCGGCCTTCACGTCGGAAAACAGGAGTTGGACCTAGGAGAGAGAATTACGGTCTGAAAAAAGCTGGGCTTCACGTCTTGAAAAAAAAAGAAGTGCGGGAAAGTCACCCAAGGAAATGTTTAGGCAGTGGAACAATGGAGATGGTTGTCACTGCAGCTGGCGGGGGCAAAGAAGACCGTTTTGGCCGGCCAGGCTCCCTCCGCGCCGGCCCTGCCTCCTGGGTCCGGGAAGGCGAGCTCACCTGGGCCCCGCGCGCAGCTCCGCCGCGGCCCCGGGCCTCAGCCGCCAGACGCCCTTCGCACCCACCGCCGTCGCGAGCTGTGCCCCCTGGAGACGTGTCTGGACGTCGCCAAACATCCCTGGAAGAAGAGTTTTGCCACTCCTGCCCCGTGGAGACCCACTCATGCGAACCGATGGTCCTCAGACCCCCGAGGACGCTTCAAAGACAAAACCGTCTTCACACTGCTGAGGCGACATCCTGTGCCCCTTTCCCGACGTTTGCCCGGAGAGTGGAAGGCTCAGGCGGGGAAGTGCCGGCGCCTTGGCGCCCATGAGGCGGTGCTCACAGCGGGGAGTCACAGTGTGGGGAGTCCCTTCTGCCCCACACAGGGCACGGGAAGAACAGCCCTTCCGAGACGGCCTTGAGGAAGCAGTGATTATTAAAATCACTATTCTTTTTAATGTTCTGCGTGGGGGGAGGGGGGTGCGGCGCGGTGCTCCCGAAGTCCTGGCGCTGCGCCCCGAAGTGTGACGCCTGTGAGATCGCCCTCCAGGCCGAAGTGCCCGCGGATTCATCGGGGCACAACTTCGACCCGCAACGCGCGGCCCGACTGGTTACCCAGGCGTGGGTATTGACGGCCTTCTCTTGACATTGCACAAGGGGAGCCTGCTTCTCGTAAGGAAACAAGTGGTAATGTTGCCAAAGATAAAATTCAAGAATTGAAAGACAAATTGTGGTTTTTGGAAAACACCTGCCATAACAATCTTGACAGGTTCCCAAGCTGTCCTCCCTTTTTCTAAGATCATCGCGGGTGATAGATATGACTTGTATGTATATTGTTGGATTGAAGGCATCAACAGGGCTGCGTAAAGCGAACCCGTAGATCAAACCGGTTAGCGCACAATGAGGTGGGCGCAGTGCTTCCTAAGCTGGGTAGAGGATTATATGGCCATGTTCACCACAAACCTAAAACACTGAGAATTCAAGCTAAACTTAAGATTTGTGCACTTTTCTGCTTATACCTCTACAAAAGTTCTGACTCCCCAACAAGACACTCAGAGCAGGTTGTATGCCCTATGGTCACATTGATAGTGCTGGGTTAATAGTTGCTATTATGAGGGGATATAATTGGCAGAATAATCAAATGGTGCGTGAAGCTGCCCTGGCTGGTGCGGCTCAGTGGACTGAGTGCCGGCCTTCGAACTGGAAGGTCGTGGGTTTGATTCCCAGTCAGGGCGCATGCCAGGGTTGCAGGCCAATGTCTTCTCTCTTTCTCCCCCCCTTCCCCTCTAAAATTAAGTAAACAAAGCCTTTTCTTAGAAAATGACAGGATGAAGCCCATTCCAGGGCTTTCCTAAATTTCTCAGAACTCAACCTTGATCCACTTTACTGTGTGTGGTAAAGGCCACCCCCTCCCATTACTTCTCTACTGAAGTTTGGCCTATGATCTTGATGCACCTATTGAAAAAGTTAATATATTTACCATGCCTTCTGTCTACAGACCTGATCATCTTCATAATTGCTAGAAATCCTCTAAATGTATTATAGTATTTATTGACATTCACAATAAACAGAACAGTTCAGTATTTTCAAACCATTTTTTGTAACAATTGTGTATAGTCAGAGTAAATACAGTACCTAAAAGGTCAACCGTATGTGCTGTTCATAATAGTCTTTAGTACGGTTTTGTTACAATTATCCAGCTATTTTAATGATTTGGAATGCCAACAATCTAATACAGCGATTTTTTTTTTTAAGATTTTATTTATTTCTCGAGAGAGGGGAATGGAGGAAGAGAGGGAGAGAAATGTCACAGTGTGGTTGCCTCTCCCACGCCCCCTACTGAGGACCCGGCCTGCAACCCAAGCGCGTGCCCTGACTGGGAGTGGAAAGCGTGACCCTTTGGTTCTCAGGCCGGCACTCAATCCACTGAGCCACACCAGCCAGGGCCAGCGATTTTCAACCTGTGTTCCATGGCAATTTTTAAAACATGCAATACCTGATTTTTTACTCAGGGGCACTGACCTGTTTTCCCTGATTGTCAAATTTAAAAAAAAAAAATGAAAACAGCCAACACAGTAGCCATCCAGTGTGAATCAAAATTATAACATTTTTGTCAGATCAGCACAACACGTTTTTTTTCGTGTGCTGCAGAATTTTAGTAATTAGTTTATGTGTGGCATGAGATGAAAAACGGTCATCCTAGCCAGTGTGGTTCGGTTGATTGGGCATGGTCCCACAAAACAAAAGGTCACCAGTTGATTCCCCAGTCAGGGCACATGCCTGGGTGGCAGTTTCAGTCCCCTGTCCAGGTGCATAGGAGAGGCAGCAGATGGATTTTTCTCTGTCAAATCGATGTACCTCTCCCTCTCCCTTCCTTCCCCTCTCTCTAAAATCAGTAAGCATGTCCTCGGGTGAGGATAAAAAAAAAAAAAAGGTTGATCGAAAACCACTGATTTAGTACAAACCCTGCCTAACAATACCACATGTAATACAAGATTTAATTCTAACAATTCTACCAGTAGTGGAATAATAACTAAATCTCTAACATTAACAGCCAGAGAGAAATGGTAGCTGCTTTGGCTTTTATCATATATATCTTAATATTTTGTTCAGTTGGTTGAGACAAAAATCACAATGTTTGCTACAGTTTGTTCAAGCACTATATTTTATATTTAGGCACGTTGTTTTAAAAGGTGCACAGATGGTCAGCTATAAAATGCTGTTATTTTTTCAGTTTTTCCAGAGATTAAAAAAGTTAAGCACATTTTAACAGATGAAAAATGTTTTTCTTTATTGTCCATTTTCTAAATCTAAGTATTTTAAATTTTATACTTAAATATACTCCATTCAAAACAAACATGAACATGTCTCAGAATATTGCACTACCAAGATTGATTTCTACCCTAGTAACAATTTATAGTTACGTTTTATGTGGAATTTCATTCATCTGGTCAGAACTCAAAATGAAAATGAGATTTCTATTGTGGAGGTAGGCAATAGAAGGAGTTAGATAAGATTTAAACAACACACATTTTTCTTTCATTCCAAAGGTGCCAGTCAGAGCACAGGCGCATAGAGTCCTGCACACAGCCATAGTCCACCAAGCATTAATTCAATGTGAAGGGTATCACTGCCGGGTCAAAAAGGGTGAGGCAAGGGTAGGAGAGGGCAGAACTTCTTATATACAACCATTTAAAACTCTGAAAAACTATAAAAGCACCTCAAGAGAAAATATAATCAAAGTAAAAGCAATGGAGTTTATTTCAGTGAAATTATTTTAAATTAGATATGATATATTAAGCTCCCATATCCCCCAACCTGGTAGAAAAATTCCTCTCAGAGAGAAATCATTTATTTTAATGGCAAAATTTTTACATATCAGTAAAATCTGTTATATTTAAAACTATGTATATAGTACATTTCTGGCAAAAACCTTATACATCTTTCAGTTGTCAAAACAAAGTAAAAATATGGTTGCATAAAATCACAAAAAATATAAATTGCTGAAAAGATAATAAAAAAAGATTAAAAATCATTTGCATTGACTCCTTTACATCTTCAGTTAGTAAGAATTTGCAAACTACAATAAATTTGTGAAAATTCTGGTGCAACCTTTACACACTCAACCAAAAGTTGTCATTTCAAATATCCCAGCTTAAAAAAGAAGTTACTGCAATAGTCCGTGCATTTATCATACTATTTGTACAAGTGCAATATTTAAATATCTTCACAATAAAACTCAGTAACTAAAAGGAAACAATAACTTAAAAAGAAGCAAAGTTTACAAAATTAACAATTTTTGGAAGGTCCTATGTAATTGGTTCCTCCTTTTATTCCCCACCCCACCCCCCAACAGCTTATAGAGACATTACAACAATGTCTTAGTTCTATATACAAATTTGTAACTTTAAAAATACAGTCTTCTGTTCTTAATATCAGGAACAAATGCTGCATTTAGAGAGCCTACTTAAAATCAGTATCTTCAAAACAGAGGGCCACATACAGGTTAAAATACAGTTTCGAACTTATATTTAAATGGAACTGCTATTATTTTATATAGCTTTCAGATTCTAAATTGAATAGAACAAGCCTTTTGCCTGGACAAAAAGAAGCCACGATTTTTCTTTTGAATTCAGTGCATGTTTCTCGGGGTGCTGGAACCAAATCTACAACTACAGTAACTATGCAAGCTCTCATGGCATCTGAGTACATTATTGTCTAAGTACACAGGTGCTCACTGTATTTGCAAAAAATAAAACAAAACACAAAAACTATATTAACAAGTAGTCTTAAAAGGGAAAAAAAGATAACCGTTGCAATGGAAAAATGATTAATAGGAAAAATATCAATTTCTTGAAGTTAAAATAGTATAAGGCAAATATGAGTAATACTTATTTTTTATTAGCATACACGATACCAATTTTATCCGAGGTGACTTCATATCTTCATTTATACCTATTGTGTGATGCTATTACTAAGAGCAAGAAAAACAATATAAATCAGAAATCTTAGAAAGATTAGGCATCTTTGGGCAGTTCCCATAATGCTGTTTTTTAAAAATTAAAATTCAAAACAAATGTAACCATTTAGAATTGTCCAATTTGTTCCATATTTTATAAAAATGTCATACCTGACTAAGGAGACATAACCAAATGCAATAGGTAAACTTGAACTGGATCTGGTTTGAAATAACCAGCTGTAAAACAAATTTGGAGGACAAGCAAGGAAGTCCAAATATGCATGATTAGATGACAGTATGGAATTATTTTTATAACACGACTGTTTTTTTAAGGACAGTATCATTATTTTTAGAACATGCTTGAAGTGTTGCGGGTCGATGAGTACGTCTGCAACACCCTTATGGTTCAGAGGAGTATATCATATATACACATATATAACTATCTATATACACAATTAGATATAAAGCACATGTGGCAACATGTTAACAAGCATTGAATCCAAGTGGTAGATACACATGTAAAAATGTTTATAATAAAATTTGGGAGAAAGTGTCTTATCTGAACATTTAAATAGTTTGTAAGAGATGTTTTTTCTGTGCACTGAATCAATTTAAAAGATACATAATCGAATAACAAGAAGTGTTTGCACACATTCAATACTGACTGACATGAGCAGAGGAATCTGTGAGATTGGCAAAAACAACATGATTTATTTACAGTATATGCAACTCAGCTCTTGTGACAAAAAGAGCAATTTATGTACAGAATATAATGGGATAAATTGTTAAGATTAAACAGTGCCTAGAATATCTCAATATGTTAATTCTGTGTGTTTTTTGACTTAATGAAGCTGAAGAAAAAACTTGCATGTGTTTAATATCTTGATGTGACTTACCGTATACTATAGAATATTAAGGAGGGATACAGAAAAGTCATCCACACTGTCCCTACTGTTAGAAGATACTTGCTACTTAAGGAGCCCAGAAAACAAAATCACCTATAAAATTCTCTGAGGATTCTAGGCAAATATTTATTGAATAAATTTATGAAGCAAATATATAACACAACATGTAATAATATATGAAGGCCTTTATGGTAAATTAATATTCTACAAAGCCCTGTGTATGCTAAATATAAAATAGCCAAAAATCAAGTGAGCCTGAGAGACCTATAATTCATTGTGTATATTATATTATGCTATAGGCCTACTGAACAATGAACAAAATTATCTTAATTCATTTTTGCACATTAGGTTTTTAACTATTAATCATGTTCTAATCCCTGTGCAAAGTACATTCCAAAAGGCCAATCCTCAGTTATAAAGATGTATAACTTGATTATAAATGGAAGCATTTGGCTATAATTTATTATGCATGCTTATTGCTATCAAAGAAATAAGCAAAGTTTTAGGTTTACTGTGCAAGAATTTTAATTAGATTCGCGCACATCTCAAAAAATTCTATTGTGTGACTTCCGGGTCTTGGAGTTAAGTCAACAGGAGAAGAGTCAAGTGAGGTCACAGATGAGGTAAGAGAAGCTTCTGAGGATTTTCCTTGAGCCTCAGCATCTGAATCACTCCTTTGGCAAGATCGATAGTTGCTAACTGATCCCGATCTCTGTGGTGTAGCAGTCCCTGATTTGGCTTCAGTAATTTCATCTGGGTAAAAAAATAATTCAACTTATTATAATCCATTACACCCTTAAAAAAAGATTGTTAATAGCATTTCCTTTTCTTCTTTGAAGGCAACCACTGACCAGCTATCAAGAGCATGTCTATTTTGAATACTTTCTCAAGTAGAGGAAAAGCATCTATCTATGTGAAATTACTCACCTTTTGTACACACAGCATGTAGTCTCCTGATGGCTAATCAAGATGGGGTATAGTATGTAGCTACTCATCAATCTTGCAATCTAAGATTAAGAGCCCAATAAACTAATAACTGGGGGTTTAATAAACATCATTCCCTAGCAATAAAAATTAACACCTCTAAAATGAAATCACAGAATAAATGCACTTAAGAAGACATTTTAGAATCATCTCATCCAACTCCTTGATTTATCATATGAAAAGAAACCCCCGAAAGTTAAGTGACTTCCCACAGGTAACAAATGAACAGAGAATCCAAGTCTCCTATATTTCTCTTCATATTCAATGTAAGATCTCAGGGAAGAGCATTTTCTTTTCATATTTGATATAAGATCTCATAGAAGAGCAGCAATCCACAAAATCAAGGAAATGAACAAAAGCAGGAAAAAACTAAAGTTAGGAACACAATACAAAAACAATAAATGGTCATTGCATTGGTAAACCCAGGTGGTAAGTTTGGGAATTTGATCCAAATAAAATGAGAAAAGTATCCCATTCCATATCTCAGACTGCATTAGTACATGTTAGCAGATAAATACCCTTTGGACATAAAGATAAGCAGACAAACAGGTTTGGCAAGCATATCACAGCTCAAACTGGTATCTTTCTGATACTATCCTTGAGTTTACAAAAAAGACAAAAAATTTGTGCATGAATCTCACCTGACAATTCCACACAATCTCAGATGAACAAAAATGGCAACATATCTTAACTCAATTAATTTGGCCAATAAAGAATTGCCATAAACATTTACCTTTGTTTGTGAGAGAATTTTTATATATATAGATATATTCTTTTATAATGATGGAGTAGAGAAAGAATATTTACTTGAATTGTAAGTCAAATGTGTTCCAACAACTTTTTAATAGATAAGGTAAATTAGATTTAATAGCATACACACATGAGAAATCTGAGTTAATGTAAATTTCAAATCATGTCATGATTTTTGTGCCATTTACTGTATGCTATTATAATCATATATATACCTTAGCATTTAAGACATTTTTCTCATTTAAAAATAAAAGCAAAAACAAAAACCAAAAGTCTGCTTTCTGCAATTAATTTACCTCAAGTTAACTAACCTAAATAGTTGAGAAGAGATATTCTGGCAAACTAAACATGATGGTAACCAGAGATACATTTTCTAAGTATAGATTTTCATTTTGAAACTACTAAAACAGTAAAACAATACTCAATATAATTAATGTTTCTTTAATAAAATTCAAGAAGTTACTTTAAGATCTTATAGTGAAGTAGGTTCACTACTTTGATAACCAATTAAAAAAAGACCTAATTTAAAATTTTAAATATTTCAGTGATTTAATCATCAGTTGTCTGATTGTATCCTAGTTGGTAAATAGAAATTTACAACATTCTAGGTTTAAGGTTAATGTCACTGCCAGCTAATATGATAGTCATGTTGGACATAAAATCCTTTAGTCCCAGGAATCCTTCTACAGTGCATTTCACACAAAAGTGATCTATTATTTAAGCACACTTTTTGAAAGGTAAGTAAAATTCAAATCATGTAACTATCACAAAAATTATAAAAGATGCATATTTCTGATTAAGTCTCTATTGTCTGGCTGGAAGGAAAAGGCTAGTTCAGAGGAGAAAAACAACTGGAAGTCCCTACAAAACATGTCTCTTAAGTGACCTGCAAGAAACACATAATTCCTTGTCCTATGAGCTACTAATGAAATCTATTTACAGTGCCTTGTTGCTTAACTCTAAAAGCTAGTAACGAATTATCCTTAGTTAAAAGCTAATAATCCTTAAGTGAAAAAAAAAAGTTTCATTAAATATCAGATATAAAAATAATTTAATACAAACTTACAAAAAAGTCAATGACTATTTCTAAATAAAACACTTTATCTTATCAGAATGAACCACATCAAAAAACAGAAATGTGGCATAAACTGTCACTCTAGGACTAGGCTGCATCTGCCTTTCAGAATTCTACAAGATAATCTTAAAAAATCAATATGCTCTAAGATTACAGTAACAACAAGATTCACAAGTGATGACATCACAAAGGCACAAAATCTCACATTTTACATTCTTTTGCTATTGAGTTACTAGGAACAATTCAAGAAGCTTCAAAAGAATCAACGATTAAAAGGCCAAGTTAGGTAACAAGGTCTAATACACCCTCTATGGTGTCTTGTGATGTACATACCATCAATACTTCGGAAATCCAATAAATACGTTCTACTATCCACTTGGTATAACTGTAGGCTCATTTTGGAGTATGTACTTGTCACAGGATTCTTCCTTCGGACTCGCAAATAATATGGGTTTACAACCTAGCATATGGTATGGACAAAAACAACATCAAAAGCAATTCTTCCATAGAACACTACAGGTTTGCAAACGTGCTAATAATCAGAATGCTCTTTCCTTCCTACCTTCCATTCATAATCCAGTTGTTTAATTGCTCTACAAACTTCTGCCATGATATCATTTGGTCGACTTTGACTTCTAATTCCCAAATGCCATTTTGCCTTCCTTACACCTTGGTGTTTGGATTTCTGTGGATTTAATTCATCAAGGGTATGGCGTGCCCTGGGTGTCTCAGCAACCAAGAAGGGCACTCTTTCAGGATGGGGCCGAGTCAAATGGTGATCATCAAGAAAAGAATCAGGTGGGCTTGTCGCCAAGTAAAAGTCTTTGGCCTCATTCATTATTCTCCGGTTGTCTATGATGAGGTGATAGGCAACGGCCAAAGGGTCCTGGTGATTTCTGTTATAAAGGCAGCTGAGGACCTCCTCTTCTGAGCACTCAAATTTCTCACACACTTCTTTTAAGGCTTCATCATCAATCATGGTTGAACTATAGGATGGATCCTCAGGAAAGAGATATTTTGGAAGATCCTGCTTAAACCATTCGTGTTCCCTGAGAGAAAAAGGCAGGGCCAGGGGAAGGATTTTGAGTAGAGATGGGACTGAAATTAACAGTTTGGAGAATTTAGGATACAAATTCGTCTGTATTTATACTCATACTGTATTACCATTTTTTTTTTAAACTGAGACTTCCCTCTTCTGCCTCACATTTCATTATACATATTAAGGGAAATGCTGTAGCCTCAGATTTTCAGAGGGAGAAAGCATTGCTGTAGTAACAGGAAAAGAAATGTGTATACTTTAGATCACATTTAAATTGGAAAAAATATGTAAATGAGAAGAGGCACCCCTCACTTAGATATTTTAAAGTGTAAATTTTATAAAACGATTTGTCTCTTTCCTCAGCTGGTAAAGGCATGCCCTGACCTTTGCGGTCCCTGTTTTGGCTGCTCTGCAAGCACACTGAGTGAAGGGAGAGCACTCAAGCTTTACGTGCCACGTACATATAACCCTTCCTCCTCCTCCATTTCCCTAATGCTTCCTTGTTTACTATCCCAGATGTACATCTGACTTCTTCCTTCCTAGTCCCTCCATCTCATAGAAATATAGCACCTAGCCACATTTCTCCAGAGGGAAATTCCCATGGGCAGGGGGGGGACAGAACGGTAGAAGAAACATAGTTTTAGTGAATTTTAAAAGCCTTCATCAGAAATGGCTCGTCTAGCCCTGACCTAGGTGGCTCAGTTGGTTGGGTGTTTTCCCACAAAAAAAAAAAAAAAAAAAAAAAGAAAGGTCACCAGTTTGATTCCCAGTCAGGGCACATGCCCTGGGTTTGTGGGTTTGGTCCCTGGTTGGGACACCTACCAGAGGCAACCAATCAATGTTTCTCTTGCACATCAATGTTTCCTTTCCTCTTTCTCCCTCCCTCCCCCTCTTTCTAAAAATAAATAAAATGAAACATTTTTTTAAAATTTGAGTAGTTTTGTCACCATCACTTTTGTCTCATTTAAACTATGAGTTTGAACCATATGAAAATGGCCATATTGATGGATTTTTTTCCTACGGAACAGCAATTTCATACTGATTCAATGTCTACCACTATGAAAAATACATTTCATTGATTATATTAAAATTTCCTCATTCCTTGAGATGAACAAAGGAAAAATATATAATTCATGAGATCAGAACTCAAACGACTACTACATAAACTTACTATTATAAAGTGTATAATCCTAATATGTGAACCTAATGAAATTAATCCTAATGAGAACACATAAAAGTCAAATATGAAGCATACTCCAGAAAAGCTTAGAGAGCCATTATAAAAATCTAACACCCTTCCAGCATTTTTTATTAGTTATTTTTTTAATTTAAAAAGTAATATAATGTTCATTATTACAATTTTAAAACAAGTAAAGATGCATAAGTAAAAAGTGCAAGTCCTTCCTCCTACCAACCCTACTTCCCTAAGGTAGCCAGTATAGTGTATATTTTTAAGTAACAAAATAAATAAGTGTATCTATACACTATTTTTAACATAAAAATAGCACATACGGTCCTGCCACTTTTTCTTTCACTTAACTTGCATCACTGATACTGTTGGGTCTGATCCTCCCCAAGTGGCTTCATTACCTGATGTCTTTGACTGTGGCCCTCTTCATAGGGTCCACCTGCAGCATATGTTTCAATAGGCTGATCACAGAAGGATTTAAATACTGAGGGGTGTAAAAGATGCCATCACATATCTTCTTAAAAAGGGTTGGCACATGGTCATCATCAAATGGAAGGGTTCCACATAATAATGCATAGAGGATAACCCCACTGCTCCATATATCTACCTCTGGACCTGCATACAATCTGCAACAGGAAATACCCATTGGGTTAAATATACATTACTAACTTAAGAGTCATTTCATTTAATCACAAATTTTAAGTATGAATACTTCATTTGAGGACACCCCCAAAAAACTGTAATTATCTTCTAGAAGGCAGGACCCTGATAGCACAGGCTTCCCCCACTGGGTGAGTGTTCTAGGAACCTATCTGTATCAGTGCACCAGCTGGCGTTGTTGTGAGAGGCTGCATTCGGCCTCAGTGAATTTCTTTTGAAGACTTTCAACACGTTTGCCCATTTCATGGTGGGTAATTTATGAGCACCTGCCCACACCGTGCTGAGTGTCCAGCAGTTTTTAACCAAAAACGGCATGGCCCCCGTGCCCCACCTCCCTAGTCACCTGATCTCACTCCGAGTGACTTTTTTTCCTTTCTGCAGATGAAAAAAGTCCTCAAAGAGAAACATTTTGCTGATGTGGAAGAGAGGAAACAAAAAACAGCAAAAGCACTAAAAAGCATCAAAATCGTTCAAAAACTGTTTTGAGCAGTGGAAAAACCACCTTGATAGGTGCATTTTATCAAATGGAGAGTACTTTGAAAGTGACTGAAGTTTAAACATGTTAGAATAAATACACCATTTTTAATAAGTATATTCCAGGGTTTCTTGAGACCTCCCTTATAATTATTAGTTAGAATACAGTTTGTGTAATCACTGTTGAATACTACACATAAAGGTTTTATACTAATTCTACTACACATAAAGGTTTTATACTAGTTCTATCAGTATTTTCTTTGGAAAAAAAATGCCAAAAATTTTTTTTTTTTTTAAGTTACAGACTATAGCTAAACTTCTCTTCTTACTAACTTACGATGGTCCTCACGAGATCCAACCAACAGAGCCAAACTTTAAACAAATCTATCATCACTGAATTTAAAACCCTTGTTTAGTTGTTTGGTTACAGAGGAGGGAGTAAATGATCTTTCATCAGCTGAGAATGTTCATTACTGATGGACTCCTACCGAAATCTCCTACCAAGGCAAAAGGGGCCTACAGCTGGGGAAGGAAGCCAAGCTAACTGGCTCACAGACCTTACATATATCTGCAGACTAGTTAGATAACCCATTCAAAATCAGGCTTCAGAGAAAGGATTTCTTTAAATTGGTCAGATAAATTGGTGGACTGATCAATAAGCACTGTTTTGAAAGTAAAAGTTTCCATTCATACCGACCTTACAGAAAGGTCTTATGCAAACCAGAAAAATTAGACTTCGGTCATAGCACATTGCATATGTGCATAATTATAATACATTTATTTTTATTTATTTAACCCTGCCCCCAGTATCTAGGTCCTGAATTGTTTTCTTCCCAAAAGACTTTAGACAACACAAATGAAATATTCTTTTAAAAGAATTTTAAACATTAAGTTAATATAAAATGATAAAACTTGATAAATCTAAAATTAGGATACTTCTCTCTTATTCATTGCAATGACTTTACAGAAATATAATTTCTCTGAGCAGGTTAGGCAAGCAAGCTTATGAACATAGAAAGAAAGTACTATAATATCTCTGAATTGTGAGTTAATCAGGATGTGCAGCATTCAAACAAAGAAACATGTTTCAAATAAAAGTTCTTAAAAGTCGATTACAAAAAATAGTAAACAAAATCAACTTTCTGTTTGGAATTTCATTGGTATAGTGAACAACAATTACTCTTAAAAAAAAATTAAATTTCCCTGTCATCTAAACTATTCAAAAAGCTGCACCTTACAAAGGTTCTCATCTTCTCAAACATTAGGTTAGTAAATTGAGAAGTTAGATTTTTTATAATATTGCAGGCTCTAAAAGATTTTTAGAATTAAAATTCAAAATTAATGAAGTCTGAAAATTTTATTAATACATGGGTCCAATTCTCCAGGACCCTTATCATAAAACCGTAAGCTACTACAAAATATCATCTATTTGAAATGTTAAAGCTATACATTATACTTTTAATTCTTCATTTAAGTAAACAGTAAACCACTTCTAACTACTAGGTATTTCTGTATTATTCAAACTTTTTAATGTCTTACCTACTCTAAAACTCACTAGTTTTAAACCTTCAATTTCTTCCACCAGGAAAGTAAGTACTCTCATCTAACTACTTTAATATAATATTGACTTTGCATACCAACATTATCCTCTATAAATGGAGTCTTTAATTATAATGTTTTATTCTTAAAACAGAACATTTTCTGGATGAGAAAAGAATAAGCCTTAAGTCTCTTTCCTTCATGAGAATTAAACACTACACGCACTACAGACTAACAAATCTAGGCGGAAAACACAATCACAAATGCACTGAGGGCAGGGAGTGTCGAATACTACCTTCCTGAAATTACTTCTGGTGCAGCATAGTTGGGTGAGCCACAACTTGTTCTTAAAAATTCACCATCTGACATCATGTTTGAAAGACCTGAAAATGCACAAAATCAACTACTCAAGATTTCCCAAGGACAAAAATAAAAGCAAAACTCCATTAAATAATACAAGTGAGTTTGCATTCTGGTAATAGATCATTCTTTGCTCCAACAAAATCCTATAGTCTTTTCTATTCCCAAATATTTTGCCACTGTGCCCTAAAATTTGTAATGTATTTCAGCATTTAAAGTTAGTGCACTTTTGGAATTTAATGAGTATACGTTAAGATATTAGTCATTGTGCTTACTAGAATAAACTTCATGTTCAAATTTTATTAATACAGAAATTCCTAGGAAAACATGTAGAACAGAGGAGTAGAAGGATTAAAATTAAAGGATTCTCTAAACCCATTCTGATTCTTTAATAAGATATAATAATTTTGAAAATCAAAGTTTCCTTTTAGTTTTACTCCGTAAAGATGCCTCTGCCTTCTCAAAAATGTCCTCTATAAAAATTTTTATCACAGTTGAGGTATAAGGAAATCAAATAATTTAGTCAATTACCAAAGAACAGAACAAAACAAAAAAATAGTAGCTTAGGGCTGGTTGGCACTATTCAGTGAATCTCTATACGGTGAAAAATATATATTCAAAACTGAGGAAAATATTTATAAGACTCTCCTCTGATTGGAACTGAAGCTAAGTAAAAGAAAGTTGCAGATGCCCTGGCTAGTGTGACTCAGTGGACTGAGAGCCGGCCCATGAACCAGAAGGCTGCAGGTTCAGTTCTCAGTCAGGGCACAAGCCTGGGTTTGGGCCAGGTCCCCAGTTGAGAGTATGTGAGAAGCAACCGATCAATGGTCTCCCCACTCCCAACTTCCTTCCCCTTCTCTAAAAATAAATAAATAAAATGTTTATTTAAAAAAAAAGTTGCAGAGATTTCAGATTTAATAATGTCAACGGGCAATTTATATAGGAAACAAAGGGAAAGTAAATTCATTTTGACAATCCAGGTTGAAATTACATCTTTCTCAAGTTGAAATAGTTTTTCTATCATTTACCTTTTTTCCCTAAATAATTTGTTCATACAGTTTACCTCCTGGCTTTCAACGCCTGAACAGCTCTGCCTCAGGCTCTTTCCTCTTGCTCCAGAACTGATTGAAGGACACACTGGAAATAGGTCGTTCACTAACTTCTCCTTCACATGTGATAGGCTCTTTCAAATGATGTCTCTACTGCCATCAACTTAAATTGTTAACCTACTGTCACAAACCTCAATTTTAAAGACATAAAGCTAAGAAAAGAGAATTCCTTATCTTTTCTCCTTTCTGTATGCTCATGAACAAAATGGTGAAGATATAGTTCTTCGGGAAACTCAGTCTATTACATAAAAATAAAAGTTATCTGAAGACTGCTACGCTTGTTCATTAAACATAGTGAACACAGGAAACTAAAAATCTCCTTACCAAAATCAGCTATCTTGGCATTCATGTGCGCGTCCAGCAGGACATTCTCGGGTTTCAGGTCTCTGTGGACCACCATGTGCCTGTGGCAGTAGTCCACGCCAGAGAGGATTTGCTGGAACAGACGTCGACTTTCTTTTTCATCCAGCTAAGGAAAGTAGAGAGACATCTTAATGGTGCGTCTTTCAAAGAAATTCTTCTACCTATAATTCTCCAACCTGTAAAACTGTATGCATGCACAAAACCTTCCTAATGGACCTCACTTATAAGACCCCTTTGAAATGCAGAGGAGAGAGATGCAGCACCAAACAGGAATGCTAAAGAGGGTCTTGGAACCCAAATCAGTAACTCGATCTTCTAATGTTATTGCTCTCAGGAACACACGGTTATAGCTGGCTTTCCTTTTTATCTCATGAGCCATTGCAAATAGTTTTAATTTCTGCATAACAGCAGGCATGTTTTCTCCCATAAATTCAAAATGTTTCATCTGCATTGCGCCATGTACTGTTTAATGCTATATAGCAACAAAAACAAAGGACCTAATACAGTTGATGAAAATAGACAATAAAATAAATGACTGATAGTGCTTTGAAGGAAAATAATACAGGATAAGGACACAAGAGAGTTACGTGTGGTGGGAATACTACTTTAAACTATATAAGGAATCAACATTTAAGCACTGCTAATGAATTAGCAAGCAACGATCTTATTTTATCTTCCAAAATAAAAGATATTTTAATTTTAACAAAAAAACCTTCATTTCATTTATTTTATAAAATATAAAAGCATTTATCTTTAATCTGCTTACTGAAAAAATTAACTTAGGCAACAAATACATTTTTTAAAATATTCTTTTACAAAATTTTTTTCCAGCCTGGCCGGTATGGCTCATTTGGTAGGTTGGAACATCGTCCCATAGACGAACAAGTCGCGGGTTCAATTCCCAGTCAGGGCACACACCCAGGTTGTGGGTTCAGGCCCTGCTCGGGGCATGTATAAGAAGGCAACCCCAGCCGATGTTTCTGTGTCACATCAATGTCTCTCTCTCTCTCCACCTGCCCCTTTCCTCTCTCTCTAAAAGCAATGAAAAAACTGTCCTTGAGTGAGGATAAAAAAATAAAATAAAATAAAATAAAATAAAATAAAATTCTCTTTCCATTTATCTGTATTTCTGTATTTTCTTATTTTCTTTTTGTCCATGATCATTACTCAGACATGCTTGCTCCTAAGAAGTCATATTTAATAAATAAGCTATTAAATCCTTTAGGCAAAGGACTCTAATATGCAGTTCTCTAACATAGGTCACAAATTAGCATTCTTGAACCAGACTTTTACACCTTAAATGACATGGATAATCTGGGAGGAAAGATGAAATAATTTTTTAAGGCAAAATTAAAACTACTGAAGTACTATGAGATACCCTTCCTCTAAAAAAAAATACTAATGCATTAGCAATCTAACACCTTAATTTCTAAAAGAAATGTAGGTTCATTTTTTTTAAATACTTTATATCAAATATACTAAATGAAAAAAATGTGTTCTAAATGTGAAAGAGAAGAAAACTTAATTAAGCAAAATGTAAGTGGTAAAGTAACGAGATAGGCTACAAAAATGCAGATTACACTATATTAATAATAAATACAGTACAAAGGATGAAGAAGGGGAAATCTACAAAGGAAGATTAGAAAAGTCAAAGTACCTTTCCAGTTACACATGGCAGACTGAACCTTCTGTCTCTACTCCTTGAACTATTACTAAAGTAACATTATTATATAAAGATAAAAGGAACCAGAGAAGAGACAGCAGTAATCAAGAGGAGCCACCAAACTGGAGGGCAGATGAACAGTGATAAAGACTTCACCAGCCAGAAGACACTGGAACCTAAGCCTATAGGGATGGAAACCAATCGTAAACTGGTCTCTATACAGAATCCTGGGAAAACTCAGAAGCTGGATGTATTGGTAATTTCTGAAGGTAGAAGTGAGAAGTGGTCTGACAATTGGTTAAAGAAAGAAGTTTCAAACTCCTCCCCACTAGGAATGAGACCGATGATTTACTCTTTAGTAAGGCTGACGCAGCTCTGTCCTCAAGGACTCCATGGCAAGTATGAGGCATCAGAAAGAAAACGGGGGTGAAGTGAAAATTGACAGACTAACTAGGGCCACCTGCAGCCTCCTCCCCATTCAGTTTCCAAGTGCAGGCAGCTAAGCTGATGGTCTCAGGGAGACTAGAAGGTTTCTTCTGGAGCAACAATCTGATCCAAGGGAAGATATTTGTAATTTTTGGCATCGGGTGTACCCTAATGAAATGGACAGGTCACTACCTAATCAACTTATGGAGGCCCACCAATCAGTAAGTTCTACCCCCATGAGGTTGCATTTACTACCTCACTCTCAAGTGACGGCACAACCAAGGAGGAAGGGACAATGCACAAAAGACAAAGACCAATAAAATGAACAGTAACAACGACATGGAGCAGGGAGCACAAAGCGTACAGAAACAGTGCAGGGAACACAAGAAAAACATTGTCATTTTCAGATAGATAAGATTATCATATCTGTGGAGAAAAAGTGGCTAAAGGAAAAAATTTCAGGAAACAAGGTAGATCTTTGAAAGAGAAAAATGACAGCTGAAATTATAATAAGCAACAGATAAAAACTGAAGACAATTCCTATAATATAAAGCAAACTGATGAAAAAATGAAAAATAGAAAAGAAAACAAGATACCAGTTCAACTTGTGCTTATTTCCATTTTTTCCTGGCAGAGAGGGGGAAGCGGAGGGGCATACAGTGAATAGAGAAGTACAATATCTAAAATTTAAATGAACCAATGTTTAAGAGATGACAAATCAAAATTAACCTGAATAGTGAGTTGAGTTTGATGAAAGTAAACATATGTGACATAGAACAAAATTCTTTATATCATGAATGATATAAATGATATACTTTATCATATCATTTGGTTGGGAGGGGAAAACAACGGGTCCTCAGCTCTAGACACGGCACTTGTGCACCACACAGCCTGGAGGTGAGAAAAAGTATGGGCCGGGGGCAGTGCTTAGTTTTTGCATCTGTAACTTGAGGCACTGCTCAAAATACTCAGGTTCATCAGATTCCTGAGACCAAAAAATGAATGCAATTTAAATGTGGCTAGGGTTAACTAGCAAGGCCTAGATCTTTAAGTATTTAATAACATATTTTGTAAGGATTAAATACCTACAATATTTTAAGATCTATATTAAAATTGTAGGCCCCAAAGCATTAAGTCTGAGGATCATGAGTTCTGGGGTCTCATTCCAATTCTGTCATTAATAAATCATGTGACCTTGAGCAAATATACAAACTGTGAGTCTCCATTTCCACATGTGTGTAAATGAAAGGAAATAATCTATAAGGTCATTACTGGTTCTAATAATCTATGATTCTAGACAAATATGTGACTAAGGGCAAAGGTTATGAAATAGACTTCTTAACAAAATTGCTTTCCAGTGTCTTATAACTAGTAAGGGATAAGGGGAGTTACAAAACAGATACAGGATTAAATAAGAACTGCTTACCCTTCCATTTTTACAGATATAATCAAATAGCTCTCCTCCTGAGACATATTCCATCACCATGAAAATATCAGATGGTGTACTGATGACCTGGTACCTGGTGAGAGAAAACATTGCCTGCCAAGGTTAAAACATGTCCATTCATTCATTCCATCAATATTTACTGAACACCTATAATAGTCCAGGTACTGCCCTAGGAGCTGAGAAAACTGCAGGAAACAAAACTTCTCTGCCCTCCTGGAATTCATGTTCTAGGAGCCAGGAAACAAACATTAAATGAATAGGCAACATGTCAGGTTGGGGACCGCGCTACGAAGAGAAAGAAAGCAAACTACAGGGACTCTCACATGGAGTGCTCGAGGAAGGCCTCCTGGAGGAAGCAGTATTTGAGCAGCGCCTGAGGGAAGTCAGGGCGTAGAGGGTGCCACTGTGGAGGAAGCAGGAGCAGCGAGCACGAAGGGACCACGCAGGTGGAGGCCCGCCTCCTGCGTAAGCAGTAGGAGGACGGCTGGCAGGCTGAGCTGGCAGAGAAACACGTGGGGAGCCAACGAGGTGACTGGGACACGAGGACACAGACCCTTACAAGCCATGCTGGAGCTCTGGCTCTTACATAAAGGAGATGGAGGTTTCAAGCAAAGTGGTCATGTGATCTGGCCTATTCACAGGTTAACTGTGGCGGCACCGGGAAGAGCTGGCGGGGACAGTAAGGGCGGATGCAGGGGCTGCTGCGGTAGGAAGGCAGCTCACACCAGGCTGGTGGCGATGAAGGGACTGAAGGAAGAAATGCGATGGGTCGTGGGAAGTGAGAGCAGCAGAGAAGGTACGGGTGGTTCCTCAGTTTCCGAGCAGAGGAACTGGACTTCACCGAGGCGGTGAAAACTTTGGGAAGGGCAGGCTGGGGAGGCCAACAGAGAGCTCAGCTTCGGCCGCGCCGAGTCTCCTGTGCTCCGAGGACATCCGCGTGCAGGGGCAGCGCGGGCAGTGGGCCGGGCCTGGAGTTCAGGGAAGAGGCTTCAAAGCAGAAGATGGCTATGCAGGGGTCATCGGCATATGGCCAGTGTTTAAAACCACGCACCCCAACAAAGGAAGAGAGGGGAGAGTGAAACCAATTCTGAGTCAGCCAGTTCATTACAAAAGTCGCAGTCGTTATAGCTTACAGCTTGTAGAATAAAGCTGAGCAATAAATAAATAATCTGAAAACCCTACAAACTGGCCAGTGTAAAACAATGGTAACGTTAATACCCTTTGGAAATGCGGGATTCCTGACATTCAATTCTTTGTTATTTGTTTTACCAGATTTTTACCAGATATAAGCAACCCGGGAGAAAATCCTTTTTACTGCAGGGACCCTCCTAAAGCTGACGGACACGTGACTACTCACGTGGAGGCTAAGGGTTTGTACCAGCAAGTCGATGTGGGTTCTGCAGCAAACAGGTCGCTAAACATTATCTGAACAGTACCTGTCAGAAGGGCACGGATCCGGGAGACAAGAAAGAGTGGGAAAGATAACCGCTGATAAGCACAAGGGCAAAACAGGAACACAGGCTTGGGTGACAATGAATGGCATTGGACAAATACACGGACAGGAAGACACCCCAGAATCAAGAACCAAGGAAATGCCAGTCATCTTTCTCACTTATATTAATTAGGTAACAAAAATGATGAAAAAAATTAAAGGACTGTATTTAATATAATCAGAGCTTACAGTTTAATAATATGAGGATGCCTGAAGAGCTTGAGGTTCTGAATTTCTCTGCGGATCTTTCCTACCACATCAAGGCTTCGAATCTTCTGTCGATTAAGTATCTTCACAGCAACTTTATGCCCAGTCAATTCGTGTTTGCCAACTGTGGAAGAAATCATTTTAATGAATTAGTGCCAGGCTTGCCTAATTACATTTGTAGACATATTTATTCTAAGAGGAGTAATCTTAGTATTCTCAGAAAACACTTGAGCACATTTAACTTCCTTTCAATTCCGCCTGATTTACCCGTGTTTACATGAGTGATTAAGCAGAGGAACACAGGAGAAACTGGTTAACACTGGTTCCTTCCAGGAAGCTGGAAGGCTCAGGGAGAAAGACAAGACTTCTTTTTTGCCCTTTTAAATTCCCTTTTTTTATTTTTCATTTTTAAAACTATAATATCAGACATATAAGCCGAACTTTTTTCTTTTGGTGTACAGTTCTACAGATTTCAACACATGTAGAAACTGGTGTGACCACCATTATAATCAGACACAGAACGGCTCCATCACCCCAAAACCCTCCTCGTGCTGGAGGCGAACTTCTCCTGTCCACAGCCCCTGAACCTTTTACAATTTGGCTCATGAGCATGTAATTCTTATTTTTTTTAAATAAGAAAAAAAATTAAGTGATTATCTCTTGATTTTGAATGCAATGCCCTGATATTCAAAATGGTGATATAATTTAGACATTTTTATAGAGGCAAAGTCTCTAAAAATTTCACCCTTTCTCAAGAACCAAGAAAATGGTATCCACTGCAGAAGGAAAGCTAAGAGGACCCCCAATATGGTAATGGACCAAAGTCCCAGGTTAACAGATATGCAGAAGGCCCAGAAGGCAACAAATCCAAACAGAAATGTTACAGAGGATCCAAGATGGTTATTTCCATGGGGGGAAAAAAGAATAGAGTCTTCCAGGGAAGAAAGTATGGAATATTGTACTGACAGATTTTACAAAGACATCTGAAGATGTGGAGACTTTAAATTTAGGTTCAAGGAAAACTAAACATGAGCCCTGGCTGGTGTGGCTCAGTGGATTGAGCGCCGGCCTGAGAACCAAAGGGTCACTAGTTCAATTCCCAGCCAGGCCACATGCTTGGGCTGCAAGCCAGGTCCCCAGTAAGGAGCGTGCAAGAGGCGACCACACACTGATGTTTCTCCCCCTCTCTCCCTCCATTTCCCTCTCTAAAAATAAGTAAATAATTTTTTTTTTAAAAAAAGAAAACTAAGCACAAGAAAATGAGGTAAGAACTCAAGGAAAATTAAAAGTTCTACAGAAAATATACTCATAATATTGGCTTACCAAACAGTTTTTATACAGTCACAATTATGAAAACACCAAATATGGATTTTTAAAATAAAAATATAATGTATTAGGAGAATGAAGAGGTAGAGAAAAGTATAAGAGAATATCCTCATCCACCATAACAGGAAGTAAACAAAAAAGCCTGTCAGTAAGAATTAAGAGGTAGCTGTATGCATGCATATACCAATGAGAAATGTGAAGGTTTAAAGAAAAACAACAGATAAATACGAGAAGAAACAACTAAGAGTTGAAAGTGAGGCAAGGGAATTCTGTTTTATAAATACACCTCTTAGCTCTATTTGACCTTTTAAAATATACAGGTATCACTTTACAAAAAAAATTAATTTTTAAATATGTGATTTAACATTTTAACTATACAGGAAGAAAATGTTCTCTTCTAAATTAGAACACAGTGTGTAAGACCACGATCAGCGAGCTCTCCCCGGCAATCTTGATCGTTATCAGCTGAATATTACACAAAATAACAAGAAATCCCTTCTTAGTGACTTGCATTTGTTATGGGCTGAAATTACATTTCCCTTAAATTTTACATATTGAAACCCTAACCCCTTGTACCTCAGAATGTGACAGGCCATGGACACAGGGCCTTTAGAGAGGTGACCAAGTTAAAATGAGAGAATTCAGGTAGGCCCTCACCCCAGCTCACTGGTGTCCCTGTAAGAGGAAATGTGGACACGCGGAGAGGCGGCGGCGGGGCGCACACGGGACGCTGCGGGCACCGAGGGAGAAGGCAGGCCTCCCCAGGCCGAGGGCAGAGGCCTCCGAAGAAACCGGACCTGCTGACGCCATCGTCTCAGGCTTTAGCCTCCAGAAGGTAAGACAATGAATTTCTGTTGTTAAAGCCATTGAGTCAGTAGTATTTTGTTATGGCAGCCCTGGCAGATTAATATAATATTTTTTACTCTTTCTCAGTTGAAAACTCAGTATTGATACCCTAAACTTCTTGTGTTTAAACATTATCTTAAACACAGAATTTTTCTCAGGCCAATCTGAATAGGCTCTCCTGCTCGATCTGGGATTTGGGACAGAGCTGAGCCTCACCCTCCTTGGAAAACCCCCAAGAAGGAGAACCTTACAGATTGGGTGCAGAGGTTTTCACCCAGTTACCATTTCCCCACCACGCTAACCCAGGCGACGAGTGACGCGCGCTTCTGCCCCCACCCCCCAGGCCCTGCAGTCGTGACGGCCAGAACAGGGGATGGCATAGCTCCTCATTACTTTGAATTTTTTAAGCATTTCCTACTAAAATATTAATTAAATATTTTAATTAATATTAAATCCAAGGCCAAGTTGTACAGCTGTTTCACAACGAGAGAAAAACGTCTTTTTACAGTGAGACTCAAAGAAAAGTGTTTAAGTCAAAGTCCTAATTCTCAATCCTTTTCTTGCCACCTACGTTCAACTTCCATTTTGACCAGATCCTTTAACATTCATGATGTCTCCACAAAGCGAATTTCACAAGTAAACAAGCAAACGTGCAACACCGCCAACTGTAACCCAGAGGCTCATCCCAGAATCAGAGAGTAAAATGTCATTTCTAAGTTACTATAATATAAAAGGAAACTTTAAATTTAACTACCCTTTATATAGCTCAACTAATCTCAAATCCCCCATGGCTAAGAAATTATAGCAGCTTCCTGAAAGATGACAGAGTAACGGAATGCATTGGATGTACAACAAGGTCTGTCCAGAAAAAGTCCAGCCATTACTAATACAACGAGAACAGTTTGTGCGACACAGATGTAACCTGGCAGCCAAGGAGGCTGGACTGGAATGGGCCTGCGTGAACAATGATGATGTCACCATACTAGTCAGTAGGGGTGGCAGACGCCATTCAATGAGCTTATGTACTCTGTGGCTGTCGCATTCAAAGTGACTGAGTGAGTAGAGCAACAAATCTGCATCAAATTTTGTGTTAAGCTTGAACATTCCTCTGTGGAAACTATTCGGATGATTCAGAAGGCTGCAGCTATTGACGACTAGTGATTGGCAGCTTCATCACAATAACGCACCTGCTCATGCATCACGTCTTGTGCAGAGTTTTTTTTGCAAAACATTAAATCACCCAGAGGAATCGGCCCCACTACAGCCCAGATTTGGCGCCCTGTGACATGGCTTTTTTCAAAACTGAAATCACCTTTGAAAGGGAAGAGGTTTCAGACTGTCAATGAGATTCGGGGAAATGTGGCACGACAGCTGATGGCAAATGGGAGAACTGGGTGAGGTCCCCAGGTGCCTACTTTGAAGGGGACTGAAGCGTCATAGTCCTATGACCAATGTTTCTTGTATCTTCTTCAATAAATGTCTCTGTTTTTCATATTACATGGCTGGATACCTTCTGGACAGACCTCATACTTCTATCGAAACCTCATTAAAATAAACATGAAATTAGTGAGGAAGAAAACCCTACACTCAAAGTTAAAATGAACTGTGGAAATCAAGCACATTCTTATTTCTGATAAGGCTTTCTTCAATCTCCTATACCAAACAGACGTGATTAGGAGCCATCAACTTGACTGTTCAAACACTATTCAAGAAGTATTTTCTTTCCAAGACCTAGTTTATTGATATGTGAAGAAGTAGTAATCTCATCTGTCCCCACTACCCCCTAAACCTCCAGGCCCTTGGCTTATTTACTAGGAACCTTTTCCCATTAACTGCATAGCTGAAACACTGGGAAGTATGCACAATGCTGTTAATACTGGCAGAGACTGAAACCTGGAAATATTAGAGCAGAATCCACTGAGGTCCGACCTCCCTCACAAATCAACCAATCCCCTCTCACAACATACTCTGCTCAATTTAATTTCAACCCCATGTAGCTTTAAGAAACAAGTGGGGTTATTCAAAACTCCAGACGTATATTCTCTCATTAAATATGGAATGGCAGCAGGGGACCCAAAGCATTCTCTCAAGTTCGTTCCTTTGGCGTCATGTGCTCAACATGTACTCGATGCCAGGCCATGCTGCCGGGGAAAACAGAAGCGGCCGAGAGTGGCCTGGGTCCTGCAACCTCTCTGGCCTCCGAGGACCAAAACAATGATAAGGTTAAAGAAGTTATAGTGTCAAAGAAAGAAAGGGCGGGGGCAAATACACGTTAAGCTCACCCAAGAAACGAATGTTTTAGGAAAAATTAACTACTTAGGGTGATAGTTAAGAGAATGTAGAAGTTATGAGATAAGAGCAGAGCAAGACGAGTTTTGCATCTGAAAAAAAAATCATTTAAAAAGCAGTAAACTGTAGCAAAAATGTGACAGAAAAATTTATGGAATGCACACCAAAACATGGGAAGAAATTAGCGATAATAAGAGGGAAAAGGATACAGAATCAAGTAAAATTCAACTCATGAGTAGGGAGTAGAGTATCATTCCACCTATGAATAATAAAAATAACCCCCAAAGGATAAACAGAATGAAATCAAGGTATAGCTCAAAACTTTTTTCTAATTCATGACTATTTCATCAAATTAAAATTATAAGTATAAAGGCATAACTTCTTCACTTTTGAAACATTAGAAAAAATTCACCCAAGTATGACCGCAAAAGTATTCAAACAAAAGTCAAGACAGAGGTAGGGAGGGACAGGGGCCTGGCCAGCAACTCTAAACAGATCATTCGAATGCACCTGTGCACACACGCAAGATTGAGAACTAAGTAAACTGGCAGGGTACATGGTTAGTTTGGTTTTTTAAGTGGGAAATTAATACACTAATTCCTTTTTCATGGCTGGGTGAGCTAAGAGAATATTATAAGGGAATAAAAGAGTTGCTAATGTCCA